GGCCAGTTACTGGACCTTATGTTTAGTGGCCAGTTACTGGACCTTATGTTTAGTGGCCAGTTACTGGACCTTATGTTTAGTGGCCAGTTACTGGACCTTATGTTTAGTGGCCAGTTACTGAACCTTATGTTTAGTGGCCAGTTACTGGACCTTATGTTTAGTGGCCAGTTACTGGACCTTATGTTTCATGGCCAGTTACTGGACCTTATGTTTAGTGGCCAGTTACTGGACCTTATATTTAATGGCCAGTTACTGGACCTTATGTTTAGTGGCCAGTTACTGGACCTTATGTTTAGTGGCCAGTTATTGAACCTTATGTTTAGTGGCCAGTTACTGGACCTTATGGTTAGTGGCCAGTGTACAGGACCTAATGTTTTTGGCCACATAGGTCAGTGTACACACGGTCGCCGTGGGCTGCAGCCATAAAGGAATTAGAGAAGAATCTACCAGCTGTATTGTATTACAAGCAAGCTGCGTCATTGTGCAGTATGGGGAGGGGTGGGTCAGACAAATGACCAGGTACTCAGATGTGCACCGGCTGCATTGGTGGACGTGCGTGCCGTGTGCAGACCATAAAATAGATGTAACACTAGCGTCAGCAGATGTCTGTTAGCGGGGTGGGGTGTGTGGGGGGTGAGAGGCGTGTTATGTCATAAAACCAAAATAATTTTTCATTTTTAAATCTGTTATTTTATTAAAGTCACACTTCCCCGGAATCTGACTTCTGAAATTTATAAAGGGAGGTGTTAAAAAATTATGCGTTTTTTTGCAGTTAAAATATTTCCCCCAATATGAGAAAGTAAAAATATATTACTGCACAGCAAAAACGCAAATGAGCCACTCATTTTTATGTTGTTAGTACTCTCAATATCAGCTTAAACCCCTTTGTAACTTATTTTAAGTATACCTAATTTAAAATAAAACAATACGGAGCGCACATTATAACATTTATGTTGTAAAATTGGGTATTCGAGACTCCATTAACTAAACTGTTTTAAAACATTACAAAAAAAAAACCTGTTGTATTATGAGTAATAAGCAGCATTAAAATGCAATACTACACTTCATATCCCAATAACGTGAGGCGGTTCTTTGAAACTGAAGTGTTGTTTCGAGTAGTTTCGATCAATATTTTAATAACTCACTCAACAGCATGGCTTTGATACTCGGTAAAAAATTCTTAGAATATTTTCTTACTTCAAGTAACACTACAGTGGATGGGGCGTTGTTTTCTAATTTAACATGGAAGGATTACAGCAGGGTGTTCAAATAATGGCGAGCTAATGGGTGAGAATAGCATGCATTATGTTTGATTCTTTAGCTGCAAAGTACCTGTCTTTTGCTACAAGTTACCTGTCTTTAGCTACAAGTTACCTGTCTTTAGCTACAAGTTACCTGTCTTTTGCTACAAGTTACCTGTCTTTAGCTACAAACGAAATGTCTTTTGCTACAAGTTACCTGTCTTTAGCTACATACTAAATGTCTTTAGCTACAAACTACCTGTCTTTTGCTACAAACTAACTGTCTTTGCTACAAGTTACCTGTCTTTAGCTACAAGTTACCTGTCTTTTGCTACAAACTAAATGTCTTTTGCAACAATTTACCTGTCTCCAGCTGCAACCTATGTCTGTACATAGTAGTTACCTGTCTGTGGTTCTAACCTACCTATTGTAGCTACAACCTACCTATCTGTAGCGACAAACTCTATGTATGCGGCCACAATGGATTTTTATGTACTTTCAATTTTAGCTCATTAAAACAGCAGAGTAATTAAAACAAATTTTAAGTTGCCTTAAAACATACGTTTGTTAGTGTAAAACATGCAACAACCAAATGCTGCTGATGCATTGACTATATTTTTACTCGTGTGTTTACACAAAAACTACGATATCACGTCTACAATATTCCAACACTACAATACACGCACAATTTCATAATCTCACCGCATCTTTGCGAATGTAAATAAAAGCCCGTCTTTTGGTAAAATAAAAACTTAATGACTACTCAAATCGACAAAGAAATCCTTTGAAACTGATCAATACTTAATCTCACATAAAAGGGCTAAATCTTGAAATACTGACGGCAGAGGGGGGTAAGGTATGTTTTCTTAGTCATTATTGATCATTGCTAAATCGTCCTGACCCCCCCCCCCTTCCCCTCTCCCCACTCCATGGTATGAGCCATTTAGTATGTTTACGTTGGCATCCGGCTAATAAAGGGAATCTATAATGGACTTACCTTATAGAGGATCAACGTTTGCAACACTCAAGGGAAGTAACAAAATATCTTCCTTGTGACTTACTGCGTATCCCCCATAGGACTAGATCACTAAATAAGTATTTTTTTTTATTTCTACTGTTTCTAGGTAAAACAAAGTACTAGTAAGCTCCCCTCGAAATAGTCGATAATAATACTTATAATAACGACTTTACATTCAGTTTTTTAAATATCAGAAGCAGCAAAGTACCGTCTTCTAAGAACAAGACGTGGGTTAACTTAATCCTTGGATGCCCCTGTGGAGCAAAGGGCTGAAGCTACACTTCTCTAACAAAAACTGTTTGGACGACTCTGTTAATATTGGCTCACCTAAGTCTCGCATTGCTTGCTTTTTTTTCCTTCTACAGGATTTTTTGGTATATCCACTTTCGTTCATCCATTGTTTTGATCTGTACACATTCCTTTATCCAGTGTTTTTTTCTATCCACATTCCTTTATCCAGTGTTTTTTTCTATCCACATTCCTTTATCCATTGTTTTGTTCTGTCCACATTCCTTCATGCATTGTTCTGGCACATCCACTTTCCTTTATCCTTTTGGATGTGTCCATCTAACCCCACTTAAACATCATATCTCAAATGGGCTGCAGTTTCATGCTATACCACTGGTTTGTGCAGTAGATTCACATTGTGAACAGTAGATTCACACTGGCCACTGCTGCCTAAGCAGACGTAGCGGATACTTGTTTGCAGCCTTTATCTGCTGTTACAGTTAGGATTAAGATTAGGGTCAATGTGACCTTATGGATTGTTCTGTGCTTGGGCAAGTGCAAGGGTTAGTTTGATGGGTTTCATCATAAATCATTCTAAGGACAAATGATCTCATGGACTAAAGATTATTTATTCTGAGATCATTTGTCCTCAGATCATAAATCGCTAAGATATTTTGTCTGGGATATTTTTTTTCCTGGATTAATTTTTTCCTGCGATCATTTGTCCTGAGATCATAAACACTTTGTCTCGGATACTTTGTCTAAGATTAATTTTCCTGGCATCATTAGTCCTGTCAATGTGTTAGGATTATGTGTAGATACACTACGCTGGGGAAAAAAAACGATTCACCCAACAACGCTCTATACAAAACCTATCATAATTTTTAAAATCTTCCTCGGGCTGTTCAATACATACAAATAAACGAGAATTAAAACGTGTTTCGGTGGAATTTTAAACTCAATAGTACAGACATAAATATAATTTTTGATTAAACGGAAGAACATATTTGCACAAACTTTTGGCAAACAATATAATTAGGCTTATTTGCGTGCAGTACATTACAGAAACTTTAAGTGCATTGGGAAATGGCGAAAATAAGCAGACATTAATGTTTATTATTTATATTTTAAAAATTGTTTTACTTTATTCGTTAAAGCCTTAAGCGGTTTGTTTACATTTATGAAATAAGCTTAAACTCAAATGGTCTTTTAAAGTGCAGCGAAGTTTGAAAAATTTATAAAATATAATCAGCTTGTTAATTCTGTAGAAATTATATTTCCCAAAGCAGTTATGGGAAATGTTCTTGTTTTTTGTTTACATTGCTATGACAACACTTCCGGTTGAATAAGTCACCAGGATAAAAATCAGACGTTGGCCTGTTAATGCTGTTATTTGCTTTAGGGGAGAGAAAATGTTTAATGGAGCTAAAACTAACATGATGATTATGATGATACATCTTGTATTTTTGAGCTAAAATTAAAATGATGATTAAGAAGGATTGCCGTGTATTTCGGAGCTAAAACTAAGATGATGGCTTTTAAAAAATATCTTTTAGTATCTTGGAGCCATAACTCAGATGATGTCTCTTATGAAATATATTGTTCATTCTTGGAGCTATACCTTGATGATCGTTCTGATTATACATCTTGTATCTTAGAGCCAAAACTCAGATGATGGCCACTATGACATTTCTTGTATCTTGGAGCTAAAACTCAGATGATGGCCACTATAACTTATCTTAAAGCCAAAACCTCAGATGATGGCCACTGTGTCATGTCTTAGAGCCAAAACTCAGATGATGGCCACGATGACATATCTTGTATCTTGGAGCTAAAACTAAAATGCTGGTTCTTATGACATATCTTGTTTTATCTTGAGATCAGCGACTTAATATCTCCTTCAAATTTGACGTTCGGCCTAATACACGGCCGATCAAGTTAAGCCAAGGCATTAACTCGGCCGAACCTGATAAAGATTGTTGGGGAAATAATCTTAGAGGGTGAGGGTGGGGGGGGGGTGGAGTTGGACGTAGGGGATCTCTGTCGCATGATGCTGAATGCTGACTTCTTTGAACACGATACTAAGTAGAACATCAATCAGTGGCTTAATAAATATTTTTAAAAAGCTTCCATAATATTTTATTTTATGTTCCATTTTAAGTGTGTACGGTGGGGAGTAGGGGGAAAGAAGTTATGGTTCAACATTGCATACTTTTAACTATTCGACCTATATTACATCAATGTAATATGTACAAGCTTTACAAATACATTAATTCTTTACAGACATAGATCACCATTATATAACTACCTGAATAAAACATTAATTCCATTTAGACATTTCAGTCGCAACATATTGAAGTAAAAACAGACATTAGAGTAAAATCAGCTTTGAAGTAAAAACAGACATTAGAGTTAACTCAGCTTTGGAGATCATTACACGATAATCGCTTCAAATCACTGATATATTTTTTTTTTTGAAAAATCAAAACAAAATATTTTTAAAATTTTATAGAATGTATGATCACACAAACTACGTATTTGTTCATCTAACTCCCATCCACCCAACCCCCATCGACCCAACTCACATCCACCCAACCCCCATCGACCCAACTCACATCCACCCAACCCCCATCGACCCAACTCACATCCACCCAACCCCCATCGACCCAACTCACATCCACCCAACCCCCATCGACCCAACTCACATCCACCCAACCCCCATCGACCCAACTCACATCCACCCAACCCCCATCGACCCAACTCACATCCACCCAACCCCCATCGACCCAACTCACATCCACCCAACCCCCATCGACCCAACTCACATCCACCCAACCCCCATCGACCCAACTCACATCCACCCAACCCCCATCGACCCAACTCACATCCACCCAACCCCCATCGACCCAACTCACATCCACCCAACCCCCATCGACCCAACTCACATCCACCCAACCCCCATCGACCCAACTCACATCCACCCAACCCCCATCGACCCAACTCACATCCACCCAACCCCCATCGACCCAACTCACATCCACCCAACCCCCATCGACCCAACTCACATCCACCCAACCCCCATCGACCCAACTCACATCCACCCAACCCCCATCGACCCAACTCACATCCACCCAACCCCCATCGACCCAACTCACATCCACCCAACCCCCATCGACCCAACTCACATCCACCCAACCCCCATCGACCCAACTCACATCCACCCAACCCCCATCGACCCAACTCACATCCACCCAACCCCCATCGACCCAACTCACATCCACCCAACCCCCATCGACCCAACTCACATCCACCCAACCCCCATCGACCCAACTCACATCCACCCAACCCCCATCGACCCAACTCACATCCACCCAACCCCCATCGACCCAACTCACATCCACCCAACCCCCATCGACCCAACTCACATCCACCCAACCCCTTTTTAACAAACACCAATCCACACAATCGCTTCTCCTAAATACCTGTTTACCCTAAACAACCATTTTTCTACAATCCACCAATCTTTCTATACCCAACAATTTTCCTCCATATACATTTTTCTCCATAGATCCATCTTTATCCATCCACCATCCTCATATATCTATCCATATATATCAATCCCCTCATTTTCCTTCATCCAGCCATTATCCACCCATCCAGCCATCATCCACTCATTTTCCACCATCCACTCACGTACCTTCATCTATGCACCCTTCCTCCCCATCCACTTCTCATCCACCCTCTCCACTACAACACCGACGGTATAGTTTTCAATCAGAACCGTGTCAAAAACTCAACATCCCCAACCCCTCTCTCCAGACCCCCACCCCCCTCTCCAGACCCTCAACCCCTTCTCATCAGACCCCCAACCCCTTCTCATCAAGACCTCTCACTAAGCGTGGTTCCACTCAACATTTTCTTCATTTCTTTGGAGATTTTCCTCAAGTAGAATTCCATTTTTTCTGCCCCTCTATATCACCCCCACCATCTCCCCTTCACCCACCTCATCTGAATTATTATATTTCTAATAGCGAACGTGATTCGCTATAACATGTTTCTATACATTTATGCTGCATTTCTATTTTCGTTGTTGAAAACGTTTCGATTGTTCTTTCGTATATCTTGTACAAAACTTTTTGCGGAAAAAACACTCACACACCCGTTCATATATTACCAGATCAATGTTTTCCTTGTATTTCTAATGCTGATTGGCCTAGATTTTAATTTGATAACTCTGTTAGCTGTTTAGTCTTCGCTCGTTACATCCGTGAAATCTAAATATAGGTCTAGCATTACTACATTAGGACACTATGAGTGTTAGACGAAATAGCATTGTAAGCATACGTTTTGCAGCATACTGCACATTGATGCATACTGTCCATGCAGCATACAGTTCGTGTAGCATACTGCCTTACAGCATAGTGTTCTTATATCTAACATGGTCGTAATGGTCTGGTCAAAATTAGAAGGAAAAATAAAGAAACCTGTATCGTAGCTATGAGAAATTAAAATTTCCTAGATTGTTGTCTTAATAAAAATGAAATAGCTTGATTCTTACGGGTACAATTAGCGGTATATATTTTATTGACTTAATTAGCTGTTGTTGTTTTATTTAGAAAACTGCCCACGAATAATAACTTTCTGTTATAGCATAGTGTTCCTAACTGCCAATTTAGCAAAATACCCATTCAGACATCAAGCATAATATATGGCATTCTCTGAAGATGAATTTAATTCTAAAATACTTCCGACATAATGTTTCTACAGTAACAAGATATACTTATGTATATGCGGAAATACAATCTTTTAATGTATCTGACGTAATACAAAGCAAATTCTGTTTAAAAAAAGATCTCCTTCCAGCAAAGATCATACATCATTTGCACTAAGTTCAAGCCCAGGTCATACCACTTGTCCTACAAGATCAATGAAACTCTACGCCGCGGAATAAAAATGTATTTTAATTTTTTTTTCTCCGTTTGCACAAGGCTGGCTGGAATATTCAAACACCATTAGCATGTATAATTGTTTCACTCCATCTTGTCTCTCTCTCTCTCTTTTTTTTTTCTTTCTCTCCCTTACTCTATTTTTTTTTCCGTAGATATAAAAAAAAACGAAACACAATCAATTAAATATGATATTCTTTAATTTATAAATCGAAACTTTAAAGCGAAAATTTAAAAATTTGAAACATGGCATAATAAAAAATACTTAAAAAATAAAAATCACAATTGACACTTTTCAGAAAAAAAAATTACAATTTTAATTTTTTAGTTGCAGATTGGCAAAAAAAAAATATTCTCGGCAAAGCAAGCAATTCTCCACAAGCTTGGAAAATTGCTTTTTTTATATTTTTAACCTTTGTTTTAACAATATAGTCTTGACATGGAAATTTTACAAGCACAATGTAAATAAAATTTAACAATTTTTTTTTAAATTATGAAAATAAAATTGAAAGTAGAAACTAATCAGGATGTTGTGTCTAGATGTTTAAAAGAAGAAACCTAAATAAACGAAGCGGCTAGATTTCCTTTTGTATTAATGTAAAACTTCGTTCGACTTCCACAAAATAAAAATAATTAGATCTAACACCCAAAAACACTTCATGTGAAAATAAAGACTAAAGTACCTAAAGTAAAAAAAAAAAAAAATAACCAAGAACTAACAACTGCTTCACCCATTGTCACCCTCACAAATTATCTTCCTTGCGGATATACCCGGTCCGCCTCGTTCTTCTGGTGCGCACTAATTTGGCTTTCGTCTAGCTATTTACCCTGGAGTTCCCTCGCTTTGACAAATGGCCCAATAACACGCCAAACCAAGGGAGATAATCAAGCTTAGGACGGAGGAGTTGTATTTACGATAATGCTTTGTGATTGGTGGGGGTAAGAGCCACGTGTCTGTGCGATGCTTAGACCTAAAAAAAAACGTAGAGCGAATAAGCAAAAACAAAAGGAGAATACGGAATGAGGCGGGTAAGAAAAATAACTGCATGGTGTAATAAAATAAATAAAGGGAGAACAGCATATAAAGACGCTGATTATGGGACCTGATTTTATGTTCGTGGTGTGGACAGAATAGAATTGTTACGTTTATAACCATCTTGAGGACCGGAATTCTAATTTTTTACACTGGCGTATATATATATATATATATATATATATATATATATATATATATATATATATATATATATATATATATATATATATATATATATATATATATATATATTCTAATTCTAATTTATTACACTGGCGTATATATATATATATATATATATATATATATATATATATATATATATATATATATATATAATTATTCAAGTTGGTGAAAAAGCCCCCCCCCCCACTTCCAGTTGCAAAGGATGGTGGCACTTTTTCCTAGTCACTATCCCGTGAAGCTTTGTATTGTGGTACCGTACAATTGATGTAGAAAACAGTGAAATCAGTGTGTAAAGCCTTGTAGCCGTTCACTTTCCTAACTTTGACTGTGTATATTTGAATACCTCAGCTTAAAAAAAAATCTACCCCATTTGTCGCCCCCTTAGGCAGCCCCACGCGCCCTCCCCTAGCTACGCCACTGGATTATAGAAGTCCGTATGGACATTTTGTTACATTTAACTATCGGTTTGTAACTAATTTTAAATGCCTTTTTAGGATAAAAACATAACATTTAACTTGTAGAGAAATAAATTAATTCTTACAAATGTGGGATGTCTCGTAAAATTGAAGCAGAAGTGTAAGGAACGTTGATGAGATTTTTTGCAATGCCTCTGGTCCAACCCCACCCCCACATCCCCACCCCTTCCATCTATTCATGCCAACATATAAGAGACAGATGAGAAAACGACTTGGGCACACGACTTCCCTGTACAAGAGAAACTGTCAATAAACATTAGCCAGCATAAGAGAGTTATGACGGGCGTCAGGAAGTTCAGTCTCCACCAGGATCTCTTGGTTTTTTTTAAGTCGCGGAGAGGTTTATTGGTGACATTTACTGGTGAATTATTGGTGACATTTACTGGTGAATTATTGGTGACATTAAATGGTGACACGTATTAGTGAATAGTGGCTTTTATTGACGATTTTGAATATGGAAGTAGGGGACGGCGTGTTCATGACGATAAAGCTCATAGTTGATGAGCCGGAAAGTCCCGAGTTCGAATCCCCGTACTGCTTAATAGTTTTGTAGGAAATAACACCCAACATTACAATCTAATACACATTCATCAAATGGTCTTCGTTTCTCTGTATGAGGCGGACGTACGGAGCAATAAACTCGACTGTATCACCATTTTAAAATATTTTTTAAGTCTTAATTTCTGTACTTAAATCTCAATTGATTTTTAGAAATTCTTTTCTTCTTCTTTTTCGCTCTTAATTTTAACTTTGAAAGGGATTACCTCCAACTCAGTTAAGTTATACAAATCAATCTAGGCCACTTACTCGGATTTCTTTTTGGATTTGCTTCCATAGACTTTGTGCAACCAAGAACAAACTACATCGCAGCAGTTGTTAACTCTCCTAGAAGAGTTGCTGTCCCCAGCTGACGACCCTCATCTGCCCGAAGGTTCGAACCCGAGATTTTTCGGTTAAGCAACTTTACCGACTCGACCACCCCGACCCGAGTTTATAAACTCAATATTGATTATTTTCAAAACAATTTTACAACTTGACATTTTAATAAATCTAAAGTGCCCCCCCATTCCCCCCCCCCCCCCCCCCCGAAGAAAGTCTTACCCCCCCCCCCCCCCAGAACGAGATGGAATTTATATAGAAAAAAATATACTTTAAACAGTGTCCGCCCTCCGGAAATTTTAGTCCGCCCCCCCCCCCTCCCGAAAATTCAAGTGCCCCCCCCCCCCCACCCCCTTAGAAAAAGGTCTGGAAGAAACACTTGACGTACGCTGAGAGCTAGCAACTTTGCTCGTTCTGACCAAATTTTACAAGCGAAGTATTTTGCTGAACTCAACAGATAGCCTCTACTTCGTTGGCCCTAGCTCCACTCAGTATTCACCCACCTATCTCGAGCATGACTAGATTTAGACAGAGTAAGCTCAAACTCTTTCTATACTAAGATAAAAGAAACTGGTAACTGTTAATGCATCTACTCAGTTAAATTAGCCCTAACCAAATGGTAACTAATTGTGGTAGGCGTGGCCGAGCGTGTGACTGCCAACTCAAAAAGTCCCAAGTTTGGACAATACCCAGAAGTGTCTTGTTACTTAACTTTATATATGCAGCAGAGCTATCGTCACAGAACGTAATCACATAGGACCAACACAGTTCCAACACACGACAAATAACAAGTAACACATGCCACAAAACACACCATAAAGAACACCACAGTCCCACATAAAAACATACCACAACTACATATACCAATATACAACAATTACATACATCAACATCGACAACCACACATCACATCCACACTAGAT